TACAACAACAACAACAAAGCTGCAGTTTTTGATACTACATAAATACAAACAAACACCTCATGGAACTAGTTTCCTTGGTTCAAAGGTTTAGGGGCATGAAACGTGAGCCTCACCAGTCAATTGAGTTCACACGGCTTTTAGAGTTTCTGTTCTACCTCCTAGTTCAGTGAGTAGCCCCTAGGGTATTAGAAGCTTGCAAGCAGCCACCTGAGATACAACAGTTGGAAGAAAGAGACCCAGGAATGAGAGAAGGAAATAAACTGCAGATTGAACTGCCTCCATGAACTACTACCTTCTTTGCCATAAGACCAGAAGAAATGGATGGTAGCTGGCTACTATTACAGAATGTTGTGATTAAGGACCCAATCTTGATCAAAAGGAGGAAATAATGTGGAACAGAACTTCAAATTCTTACTGGAAACCAGACTTACTAGATACACTGAGTCTGTAGGAACCCCAAATCTATTACCTGTAAACAACTTTCAAGCCTTGCACCAAAACTATCCCATGAAGTCATCTTTTAACAAGAACAAAGTGTTCTTGAAGTAATAGCACCTCTAACAAATTCATCTACTATTTCTCTCTGTGTCTATATCCCATTTGAATGGACAAGAGATTTCTTGTAAGAAGTAGACTCTAGCAATGCTTCCCAAGGAGTCAGTGTATCAGAATCACCCAGGAAATTTTACACTGCACAAATTTCTGTGCCACACCTCGGACTAATGACTGTGAAGACTGCCTAGCACTGGACTACTGACTGGTGTTCAAATCCCTAGCCTTCCACTCACTAGTCTGAGATTTAAGCAAAGTATTTAAGTCCTCTGACTCTGAGTTTCCTTGACTGTAAAAATGAAGACAATAAAACTGCACTGCAGAGGGTTGTTGCAAGAAGTAAGTGAGATAATGTAGGTAAAGCTCTTAGCACTGTGGCTACTACCAGGGAAGTGCAGTCACCACTTTGGTAATTGTTGTTATTATACAATTTAACTGGTCATGTAATCTGCAGCTTTCCCTCCCCTCAGAAAGTGGCCTGCATGATGCTGAGGAGAGGGCTTGGGTAGAGAATCTCTGAGATTTAAGGAGTAGAGGACACCTTAAACTGTAATGTTTCAGGTGAAAGATGGGCACCTCAACACTTTAGTATGTTTTTGTCTTTCTTTCATCTCCTGCCTAGAGAAATAAATTAAGGGAATGTAAATGTTGCTATTAGTTGCTGGCAAGTTAGATTCCACCTCATGGCAACCCCGTGTGTGTAGAGAAGAAAACCTCCCATAGGATTTTCAAGGCTGTGAACTTTCGGAAACAGGTTGCCAGACCTGTCATCTTGAGGGACCTCTGGATGGGTTGGAACTGCCAACACCTCAGCTAGTAGGTGAGCACTTAACTAGTTGTGCCACCCAGGGACTCCTGGAAACATATATAGGAAAACCAAATAGAGTACCTGCAAGTTTTTCTATTTTTCCATTTGCTCTCAGCTTTACTAATTTGAACACAACTGCCTCTGGAACAAATGGAGAATTGTTTCATATTCCTTTCGAAGCATTCCTACTGGGTCCATGTACTTGCCTGATAAATATTTGTTGAAGTCCAATCAATTTTAAGTATCAAGCCAAATGTTTATCCAGACAAAGCCAATGTACTTTTTCCTGAAAATTAGCCAATCACAGAAATAAGAGTTATTTCTGTGGGAAGGTCTCTTTGAGTTACTATTAATGCACTCCTCAGAAGGAAGGTTGGGCAATCTACTTCCATAGTGATACTGCTTTGGAAACCCAAGGAGGGGTCGCTATGAGTTGGGTCTGATTCAACAGCAATAGCAACAACAACAACACTGGTGGACACAGAAGGTCTCCCAACTTTCTAACTGTATGCTCCCTTCTATTTCCATCATTCAAAAAAAACACCAGAATCAATGGGAGAACCTGTCCCTTCTCTTTTGGGTTAGTGAGAAATGTCCGGTATGAAAAAACATAAAAGATTCTAAGAGATAGGGGGAAGAGGAAGGAAAAGAGGAAGATGAGTGTAACTGTAAATGGATGGCACAAGGGATTTTTGTGGTGATGGAATAGTTAGTATCTTGATTGTAGTGGTGGTTACATGAATCCACAAATGTGATAAAACTGCCTAGAATCTTATAAACTAATTACCATCAAGTCCACACCGACTCATGGTGACTTCATGTGTGTCAGAGTAGAACTGTGCTCCATGGGCTTTTCCACTGGCTGATTTTCAGAAGTAGATCACCAGGTCCTTCTCTGAGGGGCCTTTGAGTGAACTCAAACTGCCAACCTTTCAGTTAATTGTCTGTACCACCCAGGGACTCCTACATACACATACAAATGAATGCATGTAAATAAGGTCTGTAGATTGCACCAATGTCAACTTACTGGTTTTGATACAGTATGGCTATAAGATGTTGCAACTGGGAGAAACTGGGTGAAGGGTACACCAGATATCTCTGTACTATTTGTGCAATTTCTCATGAATCTATGTAATTATTTCAAAATATAAAGTTTGTAAAAATTCCCAAAGATTGGTGAAATCTTGTAACTATTTGAATGTTAGCAGTTATTCTGAGGAAAACGACTGCCAAGAAGCAGTCTAAAACTTTAGGCATTTGACATGACTGAGGCTTGCAGCTGAAATGTAGACCTTTCCCCATTTTGTTAACTTGACGGTTTCTCAGAATTTATTTCCACTTTGCCAGTTCTCAAAAAATATGCCTGCAGGTGTCAGAGATGTACCACAAAGATCAAGACATGACTGCAGGTGTTAAGATGTCATATAAAGGTTTTTTTTTTTTTTTTTTCCTAATATTCCAGGAAACTTCTGGGTAGCCAAAGTTTACCTCCTGCAGTTTTCCTCCACATCTTATCTCCAGATACCAATAATAATTCTTTGTAAACAACTTTAGGTAAATACTAACCAATCATGATACAATCTGTCCTTCAGGTTTGTGGTTTTTGCCTTTATAACTCCCTGTAAATGAATAGCTCATGGGAACACCTAGTGAATTACTTTCACTTTATTTCCCCAGTTTAAACTGTAGTCCTGTTCCTACAATGAACTTTTTTTCTGTTTGAGTTTTTCAACCAAGTGTTTTTCTTTGGCAAACTCTCTTACACCATCTTTTTATTTCCCATTAACTAGTCAATTTTCTCAATAGTATGACCCTGATAAACGTTTACAACTTAATGATGTCATAATTTCCTTCATTTCCAATCTAGCATCATTATGTATCGGCTTTTTTTTTTTTTCACTATAGTGCAAGCTTCTAGATACATAGACAGGAATAAATAGGTATGGTAGTATAAAGGAACTGAAGGTGGTTTTATAACTCTCATTGGCCTCAACCATCAGGAAAGGTGACCTATATCCACACTTCACCTGGTCTAGGGCCCCAAACTGCTCTGACTCACTATATAACACCTTTTGTCTTCCCAACTGCATCAGTGACCCTGCCACCTCTCACTTGCAGTACAAGTTTGGGAAGATAGTCTGTCTCCTTGATTCATATCCTACAAAGAGGATCAGGCCCCAAATGAATATACAGTAAAACCTGCAAAAGCCAGAACTTGTGTAAGGTGGAAACCTGTCAGAGAAGGAAAATTAAAATATTTTCCACTAAAAGAGTGATAGAGAAGTGGTGACTACACTATTTCAAAGGCAGAAAACTTGTGAGATAGAAAAAATAAGGTAGTCCCATCAAGTTCTGGCTCTCACAGGTTTCACTATACTCATTTCTTCTTTCCTCTATTTATTGAACATTCTTAAGTTCTCTCCAAAAAACCAAACAAACTCACTCCTGTTGAGTCAATTCAACTCATAGTGACCCCTCCTTGGGTTTCCAAGGCTGTATCTCTATGGAAGTTGTTGTTGTTGTGTTGTTATGTGCCGCAGAGTCAGACCCGACTCATAGTGACCCCTCCTTGGGTTTCCAAGGCAGCATCACTACAGAAGTAGATTGCCCCATCTTCCTTCCGAGGAGTGGCCAGTAGGTTTGAACTGCCAGCCTTCTGGTTAGTAGTCAAGTGCCTTAGGCACTATGCCAGCAGAAGAGTCATAAGGCAAAATGGGACATCATCACCCTTTCCCTCAAGGAGACCAACATATTAGAGATAATAATGGTAATGGAGAGATACAGATACTGCAAAAAGGGTTTGGTGGCTGTGTTATCTGACCTTCTCTAACTTCATGAGGGAGATAGAGCATCACCATCAGCAGCACTAGCCCAAGGATATTCCTAAGAGGTGGAGGCCAGACATGCCACCACCCTACAAACTTTGTACCAATTCTGACACCAACTATCCCACCCACAGCACTCTCTACTTCTCTACTCAGTTCAATAATTCATTTCAGTGGCCACACAGAACTTGCAGACAACACTCAGAATTATGCGGTTTATTAGAGAAGCAACAGGTTATAATTCAGGTTCAGGAACTCTCAGGATATGATACTTCAGTCAGGACAGCTTCCCCTCGGCCATGCCCACAGCCCTTTTAGCTCTGCTGGTAGGTACATGGGAGCTCTGGTGGCATAGTGCCTAAAGTATTTGACTGCTAACCAGAAAGCTGGTGGTTCAAACCCACCAGATGCTCCTTGGAAAAAAGGTTGAGCAATCTACTTCCACAGTGTTGTAGCCTCAGAAACCCAAGGGGTTGCTATGAGTTGGATCCAACTCAAGGGCAGTGAGGTTGGTTTGGTTTAGTAGATGCACAGAGAGGCACCCCACTCCACCAAGTCTCCTGCCTGAGAGCACTCAGCTTTCTTGCTCCATGGCCTGGGAAGCCACAGCTCTATCTCATACCAGCCTCTTGGTTCTGTTGGTTCTGCTGCCTCTGCTGCTGAGAGTGTAGGGACTTCTGGTCCAAGGATGTACTCCACTCCTGGCTCTTTGCTCTTGATGGCAGTAAGATCCCCCTTTTCTGCCTCTGGGATGGCTCATTTTAAGCCTAGTAGAACAGCAAAACTGACCAATCCCCATTCAGAGTTCCACATACCTTGCTTCATGGTCCCACCCCAACAAGGGTGACAAGGACCTTATTTTATTTACATTGTTAACAAGCTATGCAATCTCCTTAGTAGACCACAAGCACCTTCTATTTGCATAGTTCCACCCAGTCATTCAGTGGGAGTCACAAAGACCGTGGCTACAAGAGCCATATTAAGTAATTCATTGCACCAGAGATACAAATTCTATAGGAGAACTGGGATTGGGGGTGGGGCGGCAACTAGATGCTGGGAATCCCAGATGGAGGTGCCAACAGAAAAATTTCACACAGTAGGTTCTTTTGAGCTGGGTTCCAAAGATTAGGTAGGAATTCATGAGGGGAAGAAGGTGGGTGGAAAGGCATTTCCAGGTAGAGGAAACAGACTTGGAGGCATTAAAGAAGTGTGATTGGACAGTTTGGCATGTCTGGATAGGGAAATGATAAAGAAATTTGAAGAACTTAGTATGCCATGTTTAGTATATTGGATTTTATCTTCATGACAATGGGAACCTGGTTTTTTTCTTATTGACCTTCTATTTTACATTATTTTGTGAATCAATCTTTTTACTTTTCTGACTCCTCGGAAGATAGGTTGGGCGATCCTACTTCTGTAGTGATACTGCCTCGGAAACCCAAGGAGGGGTCGCTATGAGTCGGGCCGACTCGACGGCACATAACAACAACAACAACAACAACAAGTATTTTTCATGGAATAGAGCAACTTTGTTTTAGACACCACGGCTTCCTTACAAATAATATATGAAACAAAATAAACGGAAATTCAGTACTTTCTGTAACTGCCTATTTTTAGAGTGCTGCACAAAACATTCAAGGAGAGACTGCTCTAGGAAGGCCTGTATGTATGCTGGCCAGATAGAAGCAAAATAATTTTTCTGATTAAAATTCTAAAAAAATTAAACAAAAATTTGGAGAGAAATTTTAAATAATTGTACACCAGTCCCATGCATTTTAGATTTATTTGGTTCTTACATTGCTACTTGGAAATATTGCTATGAAACACAGATTTTGAATTTTTTTCTAACTAGTTGGCTTCCCAAGCATTGGTCATGAGAATCCTCATCTTCCATCAGGACAGTTATTCCCTGGAGCCTGCACATAGCTGTCCATGTGAGAAGCAACTCAGTGGAACAATCAACGCCTGTCATTTGGAAGGTCATCCTTGTGACTTTTGATTTGAGGCCCTTGTGGAACCATCATTTTGGAGTCTGTATTAGTTTTCTGTGCCTTCTATAACAAATCATGGTACTACACACTGAGTGGCTTAAAACAAAATAAACCTGTTCTCTCACAGTTCTGAAGCATGTTGTTGTTGTTGTTGT